GAACATCAGGATTTCTCATTTCCCCCACATCCCGTACACCTCAAAAACAAAGACCAGAGCTGACAAGATTCACAGAGGCCAGAGGACTCTCCTCATGCATGGGAGATCAGGGTGCACCACCCTAGAAGATGTGGCCAGAAAGCCCAGGGCTAGAAACATGGGGCATCTGAACTACAACCACTGTGAGGAAGTGTAACCCACACACCTAGGCTGTGTCTACACTGGGCCACTTATTCCGGAAAATCAGCCACTTTTCCGGAATAAGCTGCGAGCTGTCTACACTGGCCCTTGAATTTCCAGAAAAGCAACAATGCTCTACTGTACAAAATCAGCCGCTATTCCGGAAAAACTATTCTGATCCCGCTCGGGCATAAGTCCTTATTCCGGAACACTGTTCCGGAAAAGGGCCAGTGTAGACAGCCCAGTAGTCTTTTCCGGAAAAAAGCCCCGATCGCGAAAATGGCGATCGGGGCTCTTTTCCGGAAAAGCGCATCTACATTGGCCACAGACGCTTTTCCGGAAAAAGGGCTTTTTCGGAAAAGCAGCCTGCCAATGTAGACGCTCCTTTTCCGGAAAAACTGAAAACGGAATACTATTCCGTTTTAAGCATTTCTGGAAATTCATGCCAGTGTAGACACGGCCCTAGTGTGGTTCACTGTCCCATGCAGTGGCACCTAGACCACATCAACAGCTAAGATTAAGAGACCACTACAGCATGAGTTAAAAGTAGACTGGCTTTTAGCTCAGAGAGCAGAGGCTCCTCTACTAAGCTCCAGTGATCCTAGGTTCACATCCGCCTGGTGGTGGTTGCAGAACTACAGCAGCATTTTGAATAAAAATGTTTGGTTTTCCACCCCCAAAATATGATTTTTCACAAAAATGTCAGGGTGAATTCCAATAAGCTCTGCTCTTAACCTGTGGCTCACAGAGGGATTTGCAGCTAATAAAAAAGGAGCATTACTTTTCTAATATATGTAAAATTATTCTTCTTAGCAAACAAGGGACCAGGTGAGGTAGAGGCAAGATGATTTCTATCTTTTAGCATAACTGAAGCCATAGGAACATTGGTTAGCATAGCCCAGGAGGAAAAACAGAAGTGTTAATTTTTCTGGGTAGGGTATTTCTTTTTTCTCTCTCTCAGATGGACGGTTTGTTTGCTGTCCCACCTCATCCTCTCATTCGCAGCCTGAGCCCAGCCGCCCTTCTCCAATCCCAACGTGACAGCCTGTCCTGACATTTCTTAGCATTTGTAAACTTCTGTTTTGAACAACATCGCAGCACAAAACTTAACTTGTGTAACCTGGCTGTGGGCTTGGCCCCTTGTCAAGCCTACCCGGCACTCTGAGGGCTTGACAGAGACATCCACACAGCCTCGGAACGAACTGAATTTTAATGAGAGGAAGTCATTTTCCCACTGGAAGAATGCTGCGCAAGGGAAACTTTCGAACCTCCCCGCACCAATTCCTGTGGCACATTATGGGATGGGGAGCCAGCCTCTTCATAAGTGCGGCTCGTCCTCCCCTTTGCTTGTGACTCCTGCCAGCCTCTCAGTTCAGCCATTTCAGCTTCCAAAACAAAAATCTATTCAAGTTGGTTTTGTCCTGATGATGATTCAGACAAGCATGATATGACCTCCCTTCACTTGCAGCTCCCACTGAACCATGTTGAAACAAAGACAGCCTAGGCCCTACACCCTCCAGACACTACCACTCCCGGTTAACTGGGTCATCCCACGTTCCCAGCACAAACGACAAACTTTTAACAGCCAAAAAACTCCACAGCTGGGGGGAACAGCCCCAATTAGTTGCTCGAGGGTTGCAAAATTGTCCCTTACAGGAGTGACAGGAGCTTTGGTCTCATTGTAACTGGGTTCAGGGTCCCGAAATAAAAAATGTTCTAAAAATAGGTGCTTTTGAATGATTCACATCCCATTCCCATTGCTCCAAACCAAGATTCTCTTCATACATATTTTCTGCTTACAGCTGCAGATTGCAAGGGGGGAAGACTGAATAAAATTAGGTTACTGAGAAATGAAGGAAATTAAATTACAGTCTGCTGCCTTCATGAAACCTTTTAATGACGTCCAATTTATAGCTACTAGCATCTTGATATTTCTGAGTGTGCTTGTTACAGTATCTTCCTTGCTATGCAGAGAAGGCAAAAAGGAGAAAGACACTAAAAACATATATTGACGGAGGCGGCTTTTGTGGTCTGATAAATTATCCTCGTCAGCTATAATAATTGTTCCCAGCTTCTCTATAGCTGCAATCATCTACCATGTGTGCATTGCAACCAGTGCTGGCAGCATGGAAACAGCCTCCTTTGCTGATGGCCAAGAGCAGAGCTGGGTCCGTTTGTCCCATGAATCTGCTCTAATCAAGGCCACTTCATTACCAGCGAGGGCACTACTGTCCGACAGCCTGTAAAAGGATGCTAGCGGAATTAACAAAGCTTCGCCAGCTGCAAAAATATACTCTCTCGTCATTTCGTAGGGTGGCCATGGAGTCTCATTTCCAGCCTGTTTGGAGATAGATCAAGCTTTCGGGGGCAGTAGAGAAAACCTCATAACTTCAGTCCTGTTCATCTCCTGGAGTGCACAGTTTCATATCACCACCAGACAGCGCAAACGGACTATCATGGAGGATCCTGTTCTTGTATCATGAAAAATGGAACCGATCATTTTTGCTTGTTTGTCTGATGTTGTTTGGTTTGGTTTTTAACGATGGAGGATCTGCCATTTCCAACGGCTGAAAAAGACCCAATAAAAATGCAAGCTTCTCACCCAGGTTGGATGAGACTGATTTTTTAAGAGCCTCATGAGGTAGCCGTGTTAGTCTGTAACTTTAAAAAAAAAACCTTAAAAAACAGAGTGGTCCTGTGGCATCGAAGGGTGTGTCTAGACTACAGGGTATTTTTAGAAAAAAGTGGCCTTTTTTCAAAAAAACTTCCCCTGAGCCTAGACGGCTGCCGCGTTCTTTCGAAAGTTAATTTAAAAAAAGGGGCAGTTTTTTCGACCGCGGAAAACCTCGTTTTACGAGGAATAATGCCTTTTCTCGAAAGTGCTCTTTTGAAAAAAGGCGCTATGTAATGCAAACTGTGCTTTTTCGAAAGTGAGCATCCAGACTGCCTGGATGCTCTCTTTCGAAAAAGCGGCTTGCTTTTTCGAAAGTACTGGTTGTAGTCTAGATGCTCTTTTTCGAAAGAGGCTTGCAGTCTAGACGTAGCCTTAGAGACCAACAAATTATATTATATATATATATATATATATAGTATCATGAGCTTTTCATGGGCACAACCCACTTCAGCAGATAAATGGAGGAAAACGTCAACTAGGTGCAGAGGGCCATGTCTCCCGTCAAAAATTATCTGCTTTACGTAACAACTCTGCTGAAATGCAGAATTCAGCCTGGTTGCTGACTATTTTTGGAAGCACACCCAACACATGTGAAAGACATGTCAGTACCCATTAAATTCTGCTTTTACTTTCCTCTTTAATTGTTAATCTTTCCAGGAAATGCCTATTCACTTAACGCCCTTAGAGATTCAGTCCTACCCAGTGTTCTCTGTAAGCTGAGCACATGGGTGGCTACCCAGTAGAGATTCAAATGCTGCCCAGCTGATTGGCAGAGCACCCACAGCTGGGTTTTCTGTTTCTACTGGAGGTGCACAACTGCACATCCATCAGTGCACAAAACAAAATTTATTCTGTACCTGGATGGAAAAAATAGAAGGAGCATTGGTTCTAACTCTCTTCTAACAGGGATCTGGCAGTGATGTGAGGTCAATACATTTTTGTTCTGTTTACAGCAGGAGATCTTCTAGGGTTGGTAACATTAAACTGCTCTAAGACTTTCTTTCAACATCACAGACAGCACAGTGTAGATTAGAGCAGACTTCACTGAACCATCATTATTCATATTGTTGCAGGAACCTTGCATGCAATGCTCAATTTGCTACATGAGATGTACTCAACTCTACCTCCAAACAAATGCAAAAAACTAACGCAGGGTGAGCTGCAAAATTTAATGGGCCTAATTCTGCACACACCTACCATAACTTTGCTCTGCTGACTTCAGCAGTAATGTTATTCAAGATTTATACATGTGTAAATGAGAAGCCAACTTTGTCGTGTCTCCAGACTAGGGTTCAATGCCATACACATTGAAGATGTAACCCCTCTTCCTAGCCAGGCTTACAGCCTTGAGAGCAGCACCGTGCTAAGCAAAGCATTGCCTTCCTCAGCCTTCGCATCCTAGCCACAGGAAATAATACAAAGTTGAGAGCAGGGACTAATGGACTGTTATAAAATCAGAGCTCTGACCCCTTCTCTACACTCTAGGACAAACTATGCCCTGAAATTGCACAAACAGTCTCCTTGTTTGTATTCTTGACCAGAATCAAAGCAAGGGAAGGCCAGCCTGATTTAAACAACACCGACACGCAAGGGGAAAGGTTCCTGGGAACCCATTTCAAATGGCTAACACGGGACTCTATCCAGTTTCAGATTCTGATTTTAAGACAGGCCACTAGACCAATTGGCCCAACATTTCCGTTATAGGCTTCGCATTACGGAACGCTGCTTGAATGTTGGATTCAGCCTCGTCACTGACTTTCAAATGCACGGAGTGCTTGAGAGAGGCCCTGCGGTGCCAGGTAAATCCTGATTTTCCCTTCCGCCGGATCATATAAATGTGAAAGCCAGATTCAGAGGCAGCTTAATTTTTAAAACAACTGCTCTAAGGACTACAGTTATCAGGGTATCATTGGAATCCACTATCCAGCTGAGGATTCCACCCACAATTCTGATCACTATTAAAATAAGCATTTACATCCAAAAATCCAGGGTGGGATATTTTTTAACACCAATGCTTCCACACAAACCCACATGATGAGTCCCAGCAATGAGCTTTATAAACCATTCATCAGCTCCAAGGCTTTGTACAGCATTTCCCTCCGACGCCTCACCCCTGGGCCACGGCAGACGGACATCTGTGCCTTACCTCAAAGATCTCCTCGTCCAGTATCCGGGTCCCAAATACAATGATGCCGTTGATGTCAATGATGGGGTGGTCGCTTCGGTCCAAGAACTTTGTGACTTTCTTTTTACAGTCCAAAATCAAGGTGACGTTTTTCTTGTGCACGCTGATGGCTATTCGGTGCCACCTGGAAAATAGCACAAACCGTGATCGTTATTAACGAAGATTAACAATCGTTCAGCAGAGCCTTCTGCTTTCATGAATGGAGACAACAGTTTACAGCAACTAGCTGATCGTGAAAGGATGCCAACAGGAAACTATGGGCCAATCCCTGTCTCCCATGAGGATAGAAAGCCAGTAAAAGGCCCATGTACCAGTCAAGCCCACAAAAGATGGGAATTTCCTCAGCTGGGTAAAAGTTAGGACCAATTGCCTCCTAATTCCCTCACAGTGGGAGTCTCTTCTGTACAGCTGTGGGGGCTTTAAGGGGAGAAGTGACACACAGGGGGCCAATGGGCAACCCTAGGGCTGGGGGAGGCAAGCCCCAGCCCCGCCCCTTCTGCCTGAGGCCCCGCCTCCCATGGGCGCCAAGAATCCCCCCCCCCTCCCTGCAGGTCGAGCCTCCTGCATTAGCCTGCCTGGTCCTGGCGCATGGGGCACACAAGCATCTCCAGTCTCCTGGCTTGGAGCACAGGCCGGGTGCACTGCCACAGTACCCACAACACGGCTGAAGCCCAGGGGCAGCCTGAGAGCCGAGCTGAAGCAAGGGGCATTGTTGGGATGGAGCGGGGGTAGGGCCAGCCTGGCGGTTTGGGAAGGCATTACGTTACCCTGCCTCTTACACCTGCTGTCCAATTTTCTCCCCTGTCCCCCTCTTCCATCCTCCTTCAGCCCCGAAGAACGGACCTTACTCCTCCCACAGGTTTGTGTAAGCCCTTTGCACACAGCAAATGCCACTCCTATCTCCATAAATTCCCCTTGACTTAACACACCTAATATGTCACTGATATTCAGGGGTGTTTTGCACACCTGCTATTTCTTTGGTAGAGTATGAGAGCCCAATAAAGCGGAGACAGAGCACTGCAAAATTATATTACACACATCTTATACACGCTTAGGGATTCATACCGGTACTCCTCTAGACAGTCGATTGGTTTTATCACGCGCCATGTACTCAGGATGCAACACTTCACTTACTTGCCATCGGATAGATTAATGCCTCGAAAGAGAGGATAGTCTTCTGGGCCTGGCTTCCCAGTATGGTCTTCGTACAGGAAAACCGGAGATCTACCCATCTCCATGCCGATCTGCTGGATGCCTTGCTCATTGTAAATGGAGATCAAGAAGGACTGACCTCCTTTCTTGGCTTTTACAGTGGTCAGAATGGAGAAGTCCTCAGGAAAGGACGCTGAAGTGGAAAGACAGAAGGGTTAGTTGGTTTTTTTGGACGTGAAGGTGCGTGCATAGTTCACACTTTCTACAACCCAATAAACAGTGGAGATCCAACCGGCAATTGTTCCTTCTTTCAGCTGTGTCCATATTATTGATCCCCAACTTGCTGCCATGGCAGAGAGGTGTGTCAGTGCCACCTGCGGATAAAGACAACGCATCCTACAAGCACATGATCTCCATGATCACCAAGACGGCAAACAGCAAAGCGTTTTGTGCGAATAGCACCACAACACCGGGGTGATAACTTGATAAGGGAGCGGGATGGTGGCTTCACACAGGATGAGGATGGAGCAACAAACTTCCTCTGGGATGGGTCTGAAGGCCCAACTGCTCCACCCAATCACACAGCCCATTGTGATTAGGAGCCCTTATGTGATTAAGCCCAGGGAGAAGACAACAAAAAAAGTGGTGGAACGCAGCTCCCATAGGAAAGAGTTATCTATTCTAATGGCTCCTATTCTAATTGCTCTGTCTTCCAGTTCAGCAGTCAACTTTGCCACGGATCATTCATTAATGACCAGCAACCCCTGTTTGGCCTTTACCATTGGATCTCCAGCCAAGTAACATACCAACTCCTACACTAAGCAGAGGGGGACCTCAGTGTTATTGGATGGGAGATCTCCAATGGGACAGTAATGTGCTGTTGGTGCAAATGATGCATGTAAATCTGTAGCATTGATACCATGACTTTCCACAGTATGCCCTGGAACTTCTTAGGAGACAAGATATGCTCCACCATCGGGCCCCCAGGTTGTCTAGAGATGCTGAAGACTCTGGGGTTATTTTAATATGTACCTTCTTAAGTAGACACATGCAATGTATTAGGGCGCTTTGTTGTTTTGTTGGGGATTTTTTCAATCGGGTTTTGTCTATTTTAGGCAGGAACAGAACCTTCTGTGGCTTTGGCTCCTTGCATAAGCGTGGTCAGCAAAAATCTAAACAGCAAATAAATATCCAACAATACAATGGAGACATGGGTTTGACCGAGCCTTGAAAAGCAAATGGCAAAGCCAGCATCGCCTGCTAATCATCCACCACATCCTCTTTCACGTGGGGATTTAAGGCAGACCATGGTGCTCAGGGATATTGTGTATCCCCTCTTTATGCTTGCAAGGCCCATGTAAGTAAGCCCTGGAAACTGGGGTTCAGTCAATGGGGCTGCAGGGATGCATGGGCTCAACCGTTTGGTGTGTTCCATCCTCAGGCACCGCAGATCAATTTAACTCAGCGCATGGGAGTTTTCTGACCGTCAGAGCTGCCAGACGGCCTCTGAAACTCCCGTTGGTTTGGCTTTCTGCCCCTCCCTCCCGCAGTGGCACTGCACATTTCAGAAATGGACCCAAATTGCAAACCCAAGGCAGATCCCTCTTCGAACACTACCTACCCCAACAGGCAGGTGCATTGCTAACTGCAGGAGGGGTGGGAGGGCATTTCTTCAGATTATCATAGAGAAAAGGGTTGCTGAAAAGGGCGTATTTCTGTCATCTTTGTAAGACCTGCAGGGCATAAAGACGTAATTGTGCTTTTGTGCCTGTCCACAGAAGAAACCTTAAGCCAAGGAGTCCCAGAATGACTCAGGGTGTTGTTGGGATGTGTCCTATATGTGATGTGAACGTCTCTGTGTGGTGTCTGGTGGGGGGCAGGAAGAGAGAGGGGATTAATAGCTCTTTGGCTAATGTATTAAGCTGTAAATTCACAGCCATATAACCCACAAAAATGTCAAGCGTCCAAGAGCTTCACACAGATTTCCCTGCCCACTGTAGGTTTTTCTTAAAGGACATCCCAGGGCTGAATAAGGGATTTGACCTATTTAGGTTACAGTGAGCCTTGTTCAAAGTGTGGGGAGGGTATCCGACCACAGAACAGATTGGTGAACAGTCAGGCAGGGAAATCAGAAGAGAAAGAGACTGTCAGCTCATTTTCTCTACTGTTCTGGGGGAATTTGCATCTGCCAGTTTCTTTGCCTCGGACTCATTTATTTCATTCAAATTAATTTTGTTCAGCACCTCAACTCCTCTCAAGGTGCTCAGCCATCATTAGAGAATAAAAGAGAAAGTCACCAAGTCCATACACAGCAGCTTGTAAGGAAGGAAAGTAATTCCTGTCCTGCAAAGTGGGGTATGATATTCAACCCCGGGGTAGAGGTCGAACCCACAAGGCCTCGGTGGCACCTCAGTGGTCCTAATCAGCACAAGAGTGTCACCAAGCCCTCAGCTAGTGATGTCCCCAGAAGGAAGGAAATTCCAGGTGAGGGCCTGGCTCATTGTGTGAGCATCAATCCTTGTGGTAATACCATCTGCAAGTGGATCCCTCTGATCAGAATTTTGAAAAGTAACAAAACAAAGAATACTGGGGGTTAGGCCCTCGATTGATGTAAATGGGTGCAGCTATGTTAAAATCAAGGGGGTTGCATCCAATTTACACCAGCTGCAGATATGGACCAGGATACGGTTCTGCCTAAAAGTATCTAGATGTTTTAAAGAATGTGTTTCCCTGCACCGTAACACTGGTTTTATGCCAGCTCAATCCCACGGACTTCAGTGAAGTTACATTTGTGTAAAAATCGCCATTACAGAGTGGAGAACCAAGACCGATGCTTCCAACTTATGCTCGCAGTGCCTAAACTTCTTTTAGCTAAGACGTGGCCCCAAAAATGAAGGTAGGTGATAACGGGGCTTCCCTCAGATGAGCCGTGCTGTCCCTTTTCCTTCCTCCTGGATACTCCCATCCTTGCTGTTGCAAATCAAACCCAGACGCTTTCCTGGTTACAATTATTGGCAACAATTTGGGCTCTTTTATGTAAAATAATTCACATCCACAATGATCCATGAAATGGAGCATTTTCATTATGAACTACCCCCCACACAGAACTTTTCAACCTCAATGAGTTGCCAATGCATTTAAAATGCTGCTTTTAATTTTATTTATTACTATTAACTATTATTATTATTATTATTATTAAAATGTCTCCATGGCAATGTGGGATTCTCAGCTTCACTAACCATAATTGAAAAATTCTGGCTGCCATTACACCGTTATTATTCTGTTACCCTGGCAAAGTAATGGTGTGTTTACCATCAACACTAGGAATGATCCAGTCTATCCAATGTTATGTGGAGGGGGTTCCATTCAAAATGCAATTAAACTAATAAAAAAAATAGCACATAGGACCGGATCCAAATTCTACTGCAATATATGGCAAGACACCCATTGACTTCAGTAGACTTTCGGTCAAGCCCTTATACACTATGCAGCACTTTCAATTATGTTCATGCTCAAGGTGGTGAACACATCTCTCTCCAATAAAGGGAATTACATCAGTAGTGAATTTTACCCATTGTACAAGTTGAACCTCTCTAGTCCGGCACTCTCTGTTCCAGCAATATCTGTGGTCCAGCATGATGTTAGTTAGCTGGATGTCCACTTATCATGGGTGTGGCCAAGTTTCCCATGGTCTCATAGTTTATTTACAGCTGCCAGTCGTGGCTCTCAGTGTTCTGTGCAGCTATTTAGGTCTAATTTACCTCGAAATGTCTTCAAAGAGCCCAGTAAGCAGCGGAAGTGTTGGTCATGCTGCTCGACAACATTGGCCTCCTGTGGTTCAGCAAACCCTCTGGTTCGGCACCAGCAGGTCCCAAGAGTGCCAGAATAGAGAGGTGCAACCTGTATCTGTATCCTGTCAAGATTGAGCACCACTCTAGCTAAGGTCATTATAAATTGCTTTTGGCAACACACTTGTGAGTTAGCCAAGTGTTAATGTTGCCCTTATGCCTCGTGAAACAAGGTTTACAGGCTCAGTCGGCAAAGGCTTTCCTTGCCGACTGATCCGCGTCTTGACTGCCGCGTTGTGCTGACGATTAGCTGAGCTGGCACAGCGCGGTGGCCATTTTTATTTTAATGAAGCGGGGGATATTTAAATCCCTGCTTCATTGACTATGACCGTTAGTCTAATTTACATGCCTCTTCTGGCAGAGGCATGTAGTCTAGACATACCCTCAGAGCACAATGGTTCTTCAAAGGCCCAATTTAAACCTCTGCTCATCGTGCATCTGAGGGGCCCTGATGTTTCTGGTGTGGCTCATTTTCCTCCTCAAGGAACTGTCTGGCTATAATCTAATGTTCTACCCTTAGATACACATGCCTACATGCACAGATAATGCAGAGAATGGTAAGTGTGCAATAGGACTGGAAATTACTGCATTTTTATTGCTGCTATTCATAGAATCATGGAATACTAGAACCGAAAGGGACCTTGAGAGGTCATGAAGTCCAGACCCCGGCCCTCCCGTCAGGACCAAGCACCATCTAGATCATCCCTGACAGGTGTCTATCTAACCTGCTCTTAAGTATCTCCAATGATGGAGATTCCACAACCTCCCTAGGTAATTTATTCCAGTGTTTAACCACATTTACAGGAAGTTTTTCCTAAACCTCCTTTGCGGCAATTTAAGCCCATTTCTTCTTGTCCTGTCATCAGAGGCCAACGAGAACCTTTTCTCCTTCCTCCTTGTAACACCCTTTTAGACACTTGGAAGCTGCTCTCATGTCTTTTCTCTTCTCAACTAAACAAGCCCAGTTCTTTCAGCCTTCCCTTATAGGTCATGTTTTCTCAGCCTTTAATCATTTTTGTTGCTCTTCTCTTCTACTGAAAATCTATATCTCTATCTGTCCTCCTTGCAGCTGTGCATGAGGTTGGAAGAACATAGTTTTGCAATGAAGCCGAGGAATTTATTTAGGGAACTGGAGAAGCATCATCTTGGCAGATTTCCTTGCTCTCGTGGGTTTAAAAACACAAATGCATTTCAAAAAAATCTGCTTTGTGGGCTGCGACTACAGAAGCAGACTGGAAAGCTCATACAATTACCTAATTTTAAAAAAACCATGCTTCTAATTAGCACAAAATATTACCTGTTTGCCGAGAGCCTTTATAGCAGAAGGGAAAACTTATGTTTTAAA